TAAAGAAAGTTTACCTCACGAGAGACAATTCACTATTGTTTGTTCAATCCTAAAGTATCGCGAGATTGGTCAAGGAAAAAGTAAAAAAGTCGCAAAAAGACATGCCGCTCACAAAATGTGGCAAGCTCTACACGATATGAATGATCAAGCTCTCAAGATTAATTATTGCAGACCAAGCACTTCAAGTTTAGCGGATTATACTGTGGATCCTTCTGCAGAACGTCAAAGTCAAGATACATCTAGTTTGCCCGTTCAATCATTTAAAGAAACGGTAGAAGAAACAGGCGAACTTAATGAGTAATTATTCGTTTTGCTTATGTCATACAATACAATAATATATTAATATTTAAATATTTAATCTTTTTCAAAGTAATGATTTACAACGTTAATATTTTAAATAATTCCGTTTCTAATTACTCCGTATTTTAATGCAGACCAAGCACTTCAATTACAATGGGTTTTGATACGAATTCTACTGCAGAATGTCAAAACCAAGAATCATCTAAGTTGCCCGTTCAATCATTTAAACAAACAAGAAAAGAAACAAGCGCACTTGATAAGTAACTATTTATTTTGCTTATAATTATTATCTTATACTTATATCACACAATGTAATGGTATCCAACTAGTTAAATATTAATCTTTTTGCACAAATATAACTTACACAACTGTGACATATTTAATAATTACTTCCTCTTATTTACTTTTAATCACAACACATTCCTACACAGACCAAGCACTTCAAGTGCAGCGGATTATAGTATGGATCCTACTGCAGAACGTCAAAGTGGAGAACTATCTGGTTTGCCAGTTCAATCACTTAAAGAAATGGCAGAAGAAACAGGCGCACTTGATAAGTAATTATTTGTTTTGCTTATATCATACAGTATAGTAATATCTTGATATTTAAATATTTACTTTTGCAAAATATTAATTTACAATGTTAATATTTTAAATAATTTGATTTCTAATTGCTCCGTATTTCAATGCAGACCAAGCACTTCAAGTTCAATGGATTATAATACAAATTCCGCTGCAGAATGTCAAAGTCAGGAAATAGTTGATTTAGATCCCCAAACATGTGAACAATCGAGAAAAGGAACAAGGGCACGTGATGGGTAATTGTTTGTTTGTTTATATATATGTATGAAAGTACTTTATTTGCCCCTAAGGGGCCTTAAAGGGCGTTTTTTAGGAACGTACCCAAACCTTTACAATCGCTCTTATATTTACATCTTATATCTAACTTAATTCTAACTTAATTCTAACTTAATTCTAAGGTTGGACTTCCGTTTCCTTTGCTTCCTTCCTTCTCTGGGAAAAACAAAGACGGAAATAACCCACTTTGGGGACCACGATTACGCGTAACTAAAAATCGTAATTAGCTATTCTATCTATTAGGTTGGCCAATAAGTTTGTGCGGTTTTTTTACTTATAAATTTATAAGTAAAAAAATCGCACGGACTTATTGGCCAACCTATTATTTCAAAGATTTTTAAGTTATACTAGTCAATTCTCTCAATTAGCTCTGTCGATATTTAGTTACGCAAAAATAACTTTCACTTAAGGGGCACTAATCAAAACGTTAATTAGAGTTACGATATCCAAATAATTTGATTATCTAAAATCGTGGATCCCAAAGTGGATTATATTTTTCCCAGAGTTTCATATTTTTCTCTCATACGTCTCAATCACACTGCTCTCTCATCTATCACTTCCCTTCTCCTCCCTTCCTCTTGTCGCATTTCCTCTATTGCTTTCATCCATTCCTCTCCTTCTCCTCCCTCTCCTAGTAAATTCTCCACCACATCCTGCTACCCCTCTCCATCCCATTTCTCCCATCTTGTACATTCCTCCCATATGTGTTCCCAAGTTTCTTCTTCCCTCTCGCATATCCTGCACCTTCTATTCTCCTCTTTTTCCCAATACAGTCCTTCCCTAATTTCATTACCGAGTCTGAACCTCGCGACCTTACTCCACCTTTCTTCCTCCCAGTTTTTCTCTAAGTATCCTAGAATCCCGTCTTTCCTTATAAATTTATACCACCTGTTGTATTTCGATGTTTGTTTATATATAATACAATATAATGATATATCATTGAAATATTTACTCTTCTGAATAGAATAATTTATTATAGAATAATTTAACGTTAATATTTTATATAATTCCATTTCTAATTGCACCACATTTCGATTTTGACCAAGCATTTCAAGTTCTATGGGTTATGATAAGAATCCTTCTGCAAAACATTAAAATACTGCAGAAAAATACCTTTGCTTCTGAAAAGAGTATATAAAATGCGCCAGGTATAATCACGCTCTCAAGATTAATTACATTACTTTTCTATACAGACCAAGCACTTCAAGTTTAACGGATAATGGTATGGATCCTTCTGCAGAACGTCAAAGTCAAAATACATCTCGTTTGCCTGTACAATCATTTAAAGAAACAACAGAAAAAACAGGCGCATTTAAGGGGTTACACCACTGTAGAGCACGAAAAAAATAGGCATATTTCGGGAATTTTTTTTGCGCAATAAAGAGCGATCAATCAAAATTCTGTAAAATGGGATTTATAATTCTAGTAATAAAGTACAAAAAATATTTTTTTCAACTTTGTTCATGACAAAATGGAGGCTGCACAGCATTTCTCCGTCGGTGCCTTTTTTTCCACGGCCGGAAACCTATAATAACTCCCGCAATATTTGACCTAGAACAAAAAAACAAAGTTTTTTCGATTTTATAGAGCAACAGCAAGAGACGTATGTACGTAGGATTTTTTTCGATATATTGATTTTTCGCGAAATGGTGCATTTTTGAAGTGAATGGTGCACCACAGTTTGATCAAACTTTTTTTTCAAAAGTGCACCATTTCGCGAAAAATCAATATATCGGAAAAATCCTACGTACGTCTTTTGCTGTTGCTCTATAGAATCGAAAAAACTTTGGTTTTTTGTTCCAGATGAAAAATTGCGGAAGTTAGGGTTCCGGCCGTGGAAAAAAAGGCACCGACGGAGAAATGCTGCGCAGCCGCCATTTTGTTATGAACAAAGTTGAAAAAAATCTTTTTTGTACTTCATTACTAGAATTATAAATCTCATTTTACAGAATTTCGATTGATCTCTTTATTACGCAAAAAAAATTCTCGAAATATGCCTATTTTTTTCGTGCTCTACAGTAGTGTAACCCCTTAATGAGTAATTATTCGTTTTGCTTATATCATACAATATAACAATATCTTTATATTTAATTTTTTAGTCTTTTACAAGATTTACAATTTTTTACTCTTTTGCAAGAAAGTAATTTTCCAACGTTAATATTTTACATAATTTTGTTTCTAAATGGATCCTTTTTCAATGTAGACCAAGCACTTCAATTACAACGGGTTTTGATACAAATCCTACTGCAGAATGTCAAAGTCAAGAAACGATTGATTTGGATCCTCAAACATGTGAACAATCGCAAAAAGAAACAAGGGCACGTATTGGGTAATTATTTGTTTTGTTTATATCATACAATATAATGATATCTTACTCTTGAAATGCTTACTCTTCTGCAAAAGGTTAATTTAATTTTATTTAACCCTAGACAGACTCACTGGGGACTCACTGTACGGGACCCCACGCGAAATTCAAATTGAGCCCCTGTCTTAAGAAGGTTAGTTTTCATACCGAGACCCTAACCATAATTCAGTTTAGTCATCCGGCAATTGACCTCTGTGATTCAGCGAGTGCGTTAGATCCGTGCAGCAGCTGTGACCGAAAAAGAAAATCGTTTGGGGTATCGTACACCCCAGTGAATCATTTACGATCGACATTTACCACAGTAAAGTATATTTCAGATTTTTTGTGAAAATCGGTAACGAAAAATTATACACTTTATAGCACTCCCCGGAAAATTCTACCCCTGTTTCATATACATAATTGTTTAAGATTCGGTCAATTATTTCATTTTTGCTGTTCTTGCACAGCAACTGATTAAAACTTTGTGAAGTTTTTGTGGAGTTAATTTTACTGTTTCCATATACTTTTATAACTTTTGACTACCTTTCATATAAATAATAATCGACAGAATCTGTTTTACTTTCCATTTCTTGCGATTTTTCCCATCCGACAGTTTTTCATCATTTCCTCTACTTCAGATGTTCAAAGAAATATGTTTTTTTTTTTTAAGAAAATCGTTCGAAAAAATCGCTTACATGCCCTTGAAGGTTGTCTATTCGTCTTTCAAAATCCGTTGGAAATTTTAAAATCGGTGAATTTTATGAAAAACTACAGCATTTTTTATAAAAATAGTCATTTCAGCCCAATTTTTGGTTTTTTTTCTTGTTTTTCGAAATTTTTTTATTGTTCTTTTTTTACTACCACAAATTGATGACTACTATCGTCTTCCCTATTAAACAACAAACAAAATTATCTATTACAAAGTTTTCTAAGAACATTCTGGAAATATTATACACGCGGTACAAGTTTGGGGTTATTAACACCCCAGTGAGTCATTCACGTATGAGAAAAATAAGTGAGTCTGTCTAGGGTTAAGTATTTTATTTAATATTTTATTTATATATTTCTTTTAAATATTTTATTTAAATAATATTAATATTTTAAATAGTTTTATTTCTAATTGCACCGTATTTCAATGCAAACCAAGCACTTCAAGTTCAACAGGTTATCATACGAATCCTTCAGCAGAACGTTAAAATACTGCAGAACAATATCTTTGCTTTTGTATTCCGCGTTTTTTTTTTATTTGCAAATTAATATATCAAAGGTTTTATATTTCCATGGTTCTCATGTAATTGTAAAAAAGGAGTGATATCCGTACAAAACATATCTTTTTTGAAAAAAGATAATAAAATGCGCCATTTATACGTGCTTTATATTCAATTTTTATTTTAAAAAATTTTGATTTAATTTGGTCATATAATTTTATTTGTGTTTTTTGCTACAAAAACAATAATACTTGAAAGTTTGCATCAAGTTAAAGCTAAATAGCGCGCGCGAAGCGCGCGTCTGTAGTATCTAATATATTAAGAAAGACGTTTCTGTCAGGCAGCGTATATAAGCAATAAATAAGTAAAACACGACGGATATAATATACAATCATACAATCAGATTAAAGAGGAACGTCATTGTAATGCACAAAATATTATAAGTTTAACTCGGAAGTTACGCCGTTTTACAGTCAAGACAGAATTCGGTAGCCTGATAATATTATTTGTGTGAATTTATGTACATTTCTTTATCTCAACTAAAGCTAGAATAGAACAATTACGTTAAAATAGCGTTTCTCCCTAACTTGATTTTATATCATATCGGTCGTGTTTCACTTATCTATTAATCACAAAGGACCACGCACTAATTATATGAAAAAAGTGGCCATCGTTAAAATCGACGAAAACTACGGAAAACTGTAGTTTGTGTGATGCCAATGAAAAGTTCAAATCCGCACAACCCTTAAAATATGCTAGTTTTTAAGCTACGAGCCTATAAAGGTAATATTGGTGGTATAAAACGTACACATATTATACATAGTATACCCACTCTTAACGTTACCCAAGATCAACCTGTGGAGGTGGTGAGTGTCTGATCTCCTTTTTTGTTCTTGTTTTTATTTTTTAAAATTTTTTAAAATATTTCTTATTTTTTAGTATTTTTTTATTTTTTTATTTTTTATCTTATAGTGTTTTTCTATTGTCTCAAACTTCTTGATTTGGCGTGATTTAATATCTCGGATAGCGCGTCATCAACCAAGTGTAAAATTTCCAAGCAATGCATTATTGCATAACATCATTGATGCTGGTAATAGGGAGAATCAAGGAGTTTGAGACAATAGAAAAACACTATAAGATAAAAATAAAAAAATAAAAAATAAAAATATTAAAAAAAAAAAAAATTTAAAAAATAAAAAATATTTTAAAAAATATTAAAAAAATAAAAACAAGAACAAAAAAGGAGATCAGACACTCACCACCTCCACGCTGGTTGATCTTGGGTAACGCTAAAGAGTGGGTATGCTATGTATAATATGTGTACGTTTTATACCACCAATATTACCTTTATAGGCTCGTAGCTTAAAAACTAGCATATTTTGAGGGTTGTGCGGATTTGAACTTTTCATCGGCATCACACAAACTACAGTTTTCCGTAATTTTCGTCGATTTTAACGGTGGCCACTTTTTTTAATTGCTTGACATTAGCATCACAGAAATTCGAGGTATAAAACATTCTCTCCTTATCTCTATTTCTTTTCTTCTCTTACTCACTCTCACTTACAAAACTTCACTCTATTACGGTTCGCCGTCAATAAGTACATAATATACTATAGTATTAAGTAATACATAAAGTTGTAATATTTTAATGATTATTACTTTTTTCTATTTTTAATCACATTATTTTTCTATGCAGACCAAGTACTTCAAGTTTAACGGATAATACTATGGATCCTTCTGCAGAACGTCAAAATCAAGATACATCTGGTTTGCCTGTTCAATCATTTAAAGAAAAAACAGGCGCATTTAATGTGTAATTATTCGTTTTGCTTATTATACATATAATGATAACTTGATATTTAAATATTAATTTTTTTGCAAAAAATTAATTTACAACGTTAATATTTTAAATAATTCCATTTCTAATTGCTTTGTACTTCAATGCCGATCAAGCACTTTAAGTTCAACAAGTCACGATAAGGATCCCAATCTAGAACGTCAAATTCAGGAAATAGTTGATTTTGTTCTTCGATCTGAACAATCGAGAAAAGAAACAAGGGCACTTGATGGGTAATTATTTGTTTTGTTCATATAATATCATACAATTATAATATCTTATTATTAAAATATTTATTCTTCTGAAAAAGAATAACTTATAACGTTAATATTTTATATGATTTTATTTCTAATTGCAACACATTTCTATGCAGACCAAACACCTCAATTTCAATGGGTATTGATACAAATTCTGCTGCAGAATGTCAAATTCAAGAATCACCTGGTTTGCCCGTTCAATTATTTGGACAAACGAGAAAAGAAATAAGCGCATTTGATAAGTAATTATTTGTTTTGCTTATAACTTATATCACACAATGTAATGGTATCCAACTAATTAAATATTCACTTTTCTGCACAAATATAACTTACAACTGTGACATATTTAATAATATTACTTCTTCTTATTTACTTTTAATCACAACACATTTCTACACAGACCAAGCACTTCAAGTTCAGCGGATTATAGTATGGATCCTACTGCAGAACGTCAAAGTGGAGAACTATCTGGTTTGCCAGTTCAATCATTTAAAAAAATGGCAGAAGAAACAGGCGCACTTGATAAGTAATTATTTGTTTTGCTTATATCATACAGTATAGTAATATCTTAATATTTAAATATTTACTCTTTTGCAAAGTAATGATTTACAACGTTAATGTTTTAAATAATTTTCATTTAAATATTTTCTATTTTTATTTGCACCGTATTTCAATGTAGACCAAGCACTTCAAGTTTAGCGGATTATAGTGTGGATTCTTCTGCAGAACGTCAAAGTCAAGATACATCTAGTTTGCCCGTTCAATCATTTAAAGAAACGGCAGAAGAAACAGGCGCATTTAATGAGTAATTGTTCGTTTTGCTTATACAATATAACGATATCTTGATATTTAATTTTTTACTCTTTTACAAGATTTACAATTTTTTTTCTTTTGCAAGAAAGTAATTTTACAACGTAAATATTTTTTATAATTTTGTTTTTAATTGCACCTTTTTTTAATGTATACCAAGCACTTCAATTACAACGGGTTTTGATACAAATCCTAATGCAGTTTGTCAAAGTCAGGAAAAGGTTGATTTGGATCCTCAAACATGTGAACGATCGAAAAAAGAAAAAGCACATATTGGGTAACTATTTGTTTTGTTTATATCATACAATATAATGATATCTTACTCTTGAAATACTTACTCTTCTGCAAAAGATTAATTTAATTTTATTTAAATATTTTATTTAATGTTTTATTTATAGATTTTTTTTCAATATTTTATTTAAAAAATATTAATATTTTAAATAATTCCATTACTAATTGCACCGTATTTCAATGCAAACCAAACACTTCAAGTTCAACAGGTTACCATACGAATCCTTCAGCTGAACGCTAAAATACTGCAGAACAATACCTTTGCTTCTGTATTGTCCGCGTTTTTTTATTTGCGAATTAATATATCAAAGGTTTTATATTTTTATGGTTCCCATATAATTGTAAAAAAAAGTGATACCCGTACAAAACATACATTTTTTGAAAAAGGATAATAAAATGCGCCAGGTATACGTGCTTTATACACAAACTTTATTTTAAAAAATTTTGACCAAATTTGGTCTTATAATTACATATTTTTACTACGAAAATAATGATATCAAAAGGTACACAACCTGTATTGTTTCCCTCATAAAGGAAGCTTTGTTTTCGTAAATTTCGTATATGAACCTTTG